GGGGGGGGGGGGGTTGAGGAACAAGAGACTAAAAATAAAAGCTGGCATGAGTTTCAGCCTCAGGGAAAGTGACCACTACTGGGCTAAAAGGTAACAGTTATATATCAATAAGAGGTCGCACTGCAAGGCAGTTGCAACCATTGCTAGTAATAAATCAAGCCACTCAATATCGTGCTAGAAAGGCAAAATGCTACTGCACAGGATAAGAGCCAGGTATGAAATAGTCTTAGTTTGAGTTGTAAGTCTTTTTTTTAGCTTGATATGAATTTTAATTCAGTTTTCCTTATTAATATAGAAAAGGTGGCACATGCATACAGAACACCTTTGGCCTTCCAAGCCCTGCACACGTGCGCGCACACACGCCCCGGGAAGAGGAACCTGGGAGATCTCAGCATTTCATGTCTCTGTATCAGACATCGTTATCCCAAGAGAAACATTCTTTTACCATCTAAGACTTTCCTGAAAAAGGCAGATCTGAAGCAAACTCTCTGAGTTTCTAGTTTCCCAGCACTGTACTCCATCCACTGTCTTACGCCCCCAGAGCTTCACTGATCTCCTGCCATCCCAGGAGGAAACCATTCTGGTCGCCTCCCCGCCTTTCTTCTTACGGGCAGGCCAACAGATCCCACCACCTAGTAACGAGCCTCTGCTGTCATATCTAGGTCTCTCTGAGCTCCTGCCCCAGCTTTTGGCCTGGGCCGTGGGAGGAATCCTAGTCTTAGGGAGGCACACAGTCCTTCGGGCCTGAGGATAAAATAACTCCTGAACATGCTTGGTCATCTGCACCCGTGTCCCTCTCTGGCCCCATCACTCTAAGCTCTCTCACTGGCTGGGCTCCTGTCCCTTCCCTACTTCTCTGTCCTCAGCCTCCCTGACCTCTCGTCAGCAGTTGATAAAGCTTCACCTCCTTTGACATCCAATAGTCTAGCTTCTTTTTCTTAGCGGATGGACTTCAGGGAGCTGACCATGACCAAAATTTCCCCTAATACCCAAGTGCCCTCAGTGGCTAGGAAATAAATTAACACAGAGGCTAGTTGTTTGCATTTTAACAAGTAGAAATTGTTTTCTACCACAAAACAGATGTACACTCATCTCCCATTTTTCCTTTACAAATCTCAGTCTACCTTCCAATTTTTCCTCTTGATAGAGAAACACTGACAGAGAAATGCTTTCTGCTGTAAGATCACCAGCATGGCAAGGAAATCAGCAACTGATTTTTCTTTCTTTGCATTTTTATAAAACAGCTTTATTGAGATAATTCACACATCATACAATCCACCCATTTAAAGTGCAACGGTTTTTACTAGATGCAGAATTGTTCAACCACTGCCACAATCAAGTTTAGAACATTTCATCACCCCAAAAGAAAGCCCCATACCCCTTAACCATAAGCCTCCAGCCCTTCTTTCCTGCCCTTGGCCCCAGGCAACCATGAATCTACTTTTGTTTCATCTTAAGTGTTGGGAGAGGATGGCGAGTAATGAAGACTGTGGTGAATTAGAGAATCAGTCCAGGACCTCAAGGGGGAAGCCCCTGTTCAGCGCCAACTTTGTGATCATGTGTCAGTATGAGTTCATAGTTAGCCACGTCTTTGGGTTTTTAAAAGAGAAGCCAGAAATCAATATTTTAGGTACAATCTCCTGATTTTTAAATGTTGGTTGAATTATTTAATTTTTAAACACACAATAAGCATGCTCAGGAACCAGATATGACTCCCTCCCGCCAAGCCTGCAATGTCTGCTCCACACCAGTGGTTTCTAAGCCTTTATCTCAGCCCCTGACTTACCTCAGCACCTGCCCTCCGTTTTGAACCACAGGAACTAGAAGCCCGATGTAATGAATTTCAGCACCACAAATTCCATATCTTCAAATAAAGCTTATGTCTTCCCATAGAGACTCACCTCTCTTTCTTTGTCCCGGTCTTTGGCCTTCCATTTAATCTGGTTTGAAACCTGAGCTCTATTTTTAAATTTCTCCTGCTCGTCACATCCAATAAATTGTAAAGTCCTTTTGGTTTGGCTGTAAAATCTCACCTGCAACCTTCCCTACCCTCCATTCATTCCTACCCCAATCTCAGAGCAGGCCCACAGTAGCTCCCACCCGGGGACGAATGCTATCGCTTTCCACCTGATCTCTGTGCTGCTTCCAGTCCTTCCCTACTACAAGCCCATCCTCTGTTCTACTGCCCGATGAACCTCCCTAAGCACATGTCTGAGCACACTACCCCGCTATTCGCGAGCAGCATGCTCAAAAACTGTCTATGGCCCCCAAGTGCCTTCAACGAGCTCTAAATTCCTAAGGTTGGCATTCAAGGCTCTTCCAGCCTATGCCCAGGCTGCCTTTCCACACCTCTTCCCTCCATTCCTCACTCCATTCCACTTCATGTAGATTTTGCTCCAATTTATCGCTGCTTCTCCACAGCGTGACACACCCGCATGCCTCTATGTCCACACGTTGTCTTCAGTGCCGCTCCCTACCCGTCACTTCCCTGATCAGCACAGGAATAATGTTTTCTACCTCTAAACCCCCATAATACTTTCACTCTCTCATGTCACTGCCATTCTCTATCCTGTGGTACATTATTTGTATGTTTTACTTCTCACCCCTAAGATATATTTCAAGAGGGCCACGTCCATGTCTGATTTATGCCAGTATGCCTGAATCACAACACAAGGTCTGAGAACAGAGGATGCTTCATAAATACTGGTTAAATAGTTAATAAGTTGCTCTAACTAAACATTGAACTGTGTTATACACCTGTTTTAGCAGCAGATCTACATTCTTAATTCTACCTTGCTTAAGCTAAAATTAATAGGTTTACCTTTTTCAAGCAAACTCTAGAAGCTTGTTGCTTATCTGTCTGTTAAGTGATAGGATGAAGAGACAGACGCTGAGTTTTAAGGTTTGCCAGGGAAAGGCTACATGTGAATCACTAGAAGATGCTCTTTAGTTAAGCACTCAAACATTTTTCTCTGTAATGAAATTGTATGAGCATCACAGGTCTAGAAGATGCTTTCAGAAATCAGAGCCACATTGGGCTGGTAGCCACTATTTAAAGAATTCCACGTTCCTGAAGAATATTTAAAAGTAGAATGAATACACTTTGCTGTTTTCTGGACAGGCAAGTTCAGGTCCTAAGGGCCATTGGCACAAATGCCCATGGGAAAGTTTACAGGGAGACCCTGAGCAAGATAGCTTGAGGAGAAAAATTTTCAGCAGTGCTTGCAAACATTGAGCCACCTACAAGTGCAATAACAGCCAGGCCTTGAAAGTTAATGATAATAAAAGACAACAGTTTTAAAGTACCAAATGCTAAGCACTAGGTAAGCCCTTTATATGGGGAGCTTTTCATATCTTGTTTGAACTTCATATCTTAGTTTCATCTTTTTACATCCTCACAACCACTCCATGAGATAGGGAATATCATCCCTATTGACAGACTGTCTATGAGATATAAGTAACTATCCCAAGGTCACATGGTTGGGTAATGACAGAGCCACCTCGGACACCAGGCTGAGGGAATCTTAACCTCTTCTCCAATTAGCTTTCTCCAGACTCATTATGTCAAGTAGCCAGCTACTCTGCCAGCCAGGAGGCCCCCAGGAAGGGCCTGAAGGGCCCCAAGGCTCATCTTGGGGAAGACACTCATGGGTGTGCTGTGAGCACCTTCTCACTCATCTCTACTCTGCGTGTCACACAGGCTCCACACTCGGCTTACTCTTTCCTGATGTACAGTGATAACCCAGGGCAAGGGGTTTCCAGAAAGACACACAAGCCCTGGCTTGGCAAGGTATTTCACCTTGCTCAACTGGCCCAGCAGCTGGATTCATACAAATCAGGAGGCCTAAAACTGACCTTCTCTGGTTGAAAGCTTAACAATGGTCAGGATTAGAAGGTTATTTCACTTAAAAGGGTTTCAAATATGGGAAAACAATTGAAGGGTGGTTATAGGTGGTGGGATCACCCGGGAGAGAATTGGGAGAAAGGCAAGTGGGGAAGCTGTCAGTTACTC